GTAAAACGAGGTCTACTTTAGTCTTTAACCATTTTATAATGCAGTATTTATAATATTTTACCTACTATAAAAAAAAGTTTATTACACCTATACTAGGTAGTATTAATTACTACTGATCACTAAATCACAATATAATTCCCTGCAGTTTATAAGGTAATATAGCCACATGTAGGTCATTATGCAGGCCGCAGGGGCGGTGGTAAAGGCATAGATAATATATATACATTATATATCACCTATGTAGGAAGGAGCGTGCTACAGGTTAAACAGTTATACCTTACCTCTAGTAACCACCAATTGTATTGCTTTAAGTATCGTTGTGAATCTCATATTCTGGGACAGTGAAACCATTAAGACTTTAATATACATATGTGCAAAAATTCCACCAAACAAATGTTGCCCGACTCTGTTCCTCCAATCTCCTAACCACCTAAACTAAAATAGCCTACATACTAGCATTGAATATAATATAATATATACTATTTACTTAATGATACTAGTATATAGATAACCATCCCCATTCCCCAGTTACCATTGACTGCAAATACTACATATTAGTTGTATTTAGGACATACCGTAAAATGGGGTGACTTCGGACATGCGGGGTGACTCCGGACAAAACCATATTTTTGTAGTTTTCTTATCATTTTGGATTACAAGTTTGGTAAAAGTTGAAAACTGATACTCCATGTTCATATCTATTATATCCTCCATAGAAAATAATATTTATTGGTAACATAATATTATCATACCATATGTTATAGAGGTAAATACAAGATGATCTATTTTTAGATTTAAAAATTATCGAACTGATAACATATGTAGAACAACAACAAATAAACATATTTGATTGCGGTTTTCGGCAATCGGCTCGCAAACTTATCAGCTATAATTTACGTGTGTTAAAATAGTTTATTTATTTATTCATACATTGCAGTGCTACATTCTTTAAATTTTTTCAAAACGCGGGGTGACTCCGGACAGGAAAATTACGATGCCCAGATCATACAAAAAAACGAAAATTAGTGCCCAGTAAAATAATGAAACGAGGACGTTTTATTTTTGACAATATTGATACAACTAATTTTTATTGAAAAAATAAAATGAATTTATAATTTATATACCTACCTAATATAACATTTGTTGATATTTTTATAAAAGTAAAAATTTATTTTATGTGAAGTTTTTCAAAATATTGAATAAAATACGTAGTATTTATGATAAAGTTATGTTTTTTTTTTTGTTTAATTCGTTACGTTTTTTTTAAAAATATCTATACTGTCCGAAGTCAACCATTGTAATTTTAACATCGGTTTTTAATGAAATTTAATACGTGTCCGAAGTCACCCCATTTTGCGGGTGACTCTGGACAGTTTTCAACTTTTAAAAAAAGTGTGAACTTTAAAGACTTTTATGATTATTCTTCTCCTACATGATTTCAACATACCTAAAGAATATTGCATATTTTTTTCATAATTTTAGAAACAATATATTGAGGTTAATTTTTGAAAAAACGTTCAAATCTGTCCGGAGTCACCCCATTTTACGGTAGGTAATAAACATAGGTACTATGATATCGATGTTAAATAATGTAATTCAAGAGTGAAGAAAAAATGTAAAGATTTAAAGATAATGAGTTTTTTTATCATCTTGTTATTATTTTTTTTCGTATAGAAGAAGTAGGTACTCAAAAAGTTTCATGCAGCATTTAAACGCACAGTTATATAAATGTATGATACATTGATGATAACTGATAAGTCATTTTTCAATTTTTTTCATTATAGTTGCTCTAAAACTACCGACAAACGTTGAACAATTTTGAAATAGTATCAGTAAACGTGATATTAAACGGAATCCGGTCAGAAACGTTTTTAAAATGATTTATGGTTGCTTTAAAAATTAATATCAACAACAAAACAGTAAAAGTCTATAATCTGCACCTATAGCTGAGCGAATAATGAAGAGAGCAGACGAGTGCTCACTGCCCAACTCCACTATTTTGTATCTGGCCGGTCTTTTATTTTATATTCACATAGGTAACGATAGTCTAAGATTTTGCTTGCAATACAATATGTTAATATGTATATAAATATATAATATATACAATACCTTGATGAATGATTGCAACACTGGTTTTATCTAGAGGTTAAAAAACCTAGGTAGTCAAGTAGATATGTATGATTCAGATTTTTATTTAAAGAAAATCTTGATAGAAACAATACATTTATCGATATTAACATATTATAAAACAACAATTATTTAAATCAATATAATATGCAAATTATTAGACTTGAATTCCAAAAATGTTGCTGAACAATGGTTTTAATTTCACAGTTTAGTATGTTTTCAAAAATGTCAAAGAATCCTGCTGATTAACTTAAATTTAAATTCTTTTAAGATACCTATATAAATATCACATTATCACATATGTATTTCAGAATGTGGAAATGTGTTTAAATTTATCAAACTTATAAAAAATAGTTAAAATTAACATTAGGCAAACAAAATGTATAATAAGTACATGCTTTGTGAATATTATCAATCGGAAATAACATTACAGCCAACCTGAATTTCAACGAGTTTTCAAAATAGAAAACGAGGAATTTTTTGTGAATGATTTTTAATACATTTTTTAGTTTTTGACATTTAATTTGATGTACTATGTAGGTATTATTAAATTCTGACATAAAAATTGTTTTATTGAATAAAAATGTTTTTAATTGTATTATGTATTGTATTATACAATCAAGTAATCAACCGACAATCACGCATAAACCATAAATATTTTTTTAATGTGTTTTGAAAACATGTTTTATTATAAGGAATACATTGTATTTTTCAGTTAATAGAGACAGATAATTAGGGGCCCATAATATTAATCAGTAATCTTTAGTCCTTATATAGCTTATATAATTATTATTATTTATTAGTTTAATTACGCATGGAGACATGGCGAGTATTTAATAGACGTATAACGTATTATGGTAAGTAGTACTGAAGTCTGAAAGTTTACGACTCATACACTACTTTTAGGTTCTAAGTAGATAAGGGCCCAAATAAGTCCTAATACTATATGGACTATTTTTTTTTCCAAAAAACATATATGAATTTCAAGTATTATATTCAAGCACAAAATAGGTTTCCTCACCTCCTTCAAGCAATCCTAGTGTTGGAGGTTAGAAGTTCTTACAATAGAAGTATCCGATATCGTATATATTACAAATTTGATATATTATAAATATTGAGTTTTATGTAGGCGTTATAGTATTTATAAGTTATAACATCTCACTAAATTATAGATCTGAGATAATCAAATGTGTATTAATAAACTGTTTGAAATGATTATAATATGTGGTAGGTGTTGCCTATGGTTATTAAAATGTATACTAAATAGTAAATTGCCTACATGAATTGATTGCAGTAGATATTTAAGCTACTATTCTAACTCCTAAAAGAAATCTTGTAAAGAATAGGTACTTTTATTTTGTTTTCAGATTTCAGAATATGTATTTGAAATTTGAATAAATAAGTATTAAAGTATTCAGAGTACATATTCAAACACATTTAAAAAAATATATTATTCTGTACACATATTAGAATACTTTTTCGAGTATTCGAATAGGTACCTACTATGATATGGTACTGTTTAATATATTTTTTCCCCCGCAATAATATTTGTCAGTTTTGGAATGTTTGGAAATTAACGCGGGTCAATCATATTTTATTCAAAGACAAAAACTATTGTTTATAACTTATAATGTGTCCAATTTGTAATTGAAACATTTGTTTGATCACAAATATAAACTATTTTTCGAGTTCAAAAGAAGTATTTTTTATTGAATAAAAAATAAAATTTTGTTTTTCCGTATATCATATTATCTACTATCTAGTACTAATTAGTAATTACCATAATATTATAGTTGTTATTTACAACAATTATTCTATTTCTATCGTACTCAGTGCCGTTACTTTTTATATTTATCGGTGGACACCCCCCCCTCCACGAGCACGCCCATGGGTGCGCACACATAATATTGTACGCATCACGCAGTCAAAATATAACGCGTCAAAAACACAGTTGTACTCTGTACAAAAAATGCCAGTAGGTACATTAAGGGCCGTTCTTACAATGTCCGGTAAAGTGTCGGTTAACGCTAACCGACTGATAACAGATTTTATTACCGGCAGAATTCTTCCGGTTAAGTGTCGGTTAACTTTAACCGGACGTCGTAAGAACGGCCCTAAGTCATAATAATATATGTATTGTATTTAAAATCAAACCGATCGGCTCAGTACGACTTAACGACCCTAATAGTGATCACCCCGGTGGCGATGGCCGGTAGTTGCGGCACTATTACTACTACACTACTACACGTGCACGGTTCCCATGTGTGCGACTACGTTTGTCAAGTGATGTAGCCATATAGGGTGATATAAGGGGGGGGGGGTGGCTTGCGTTTGTGGTGGATACGAAAAATGCCGCGCTTCCGAAATTGGGTCAGTGCTACGACGTCACGATCGATATAGACGGCAGAATTGATGCACGCACGCCCTCTTAATATCAACCGCGGTACTAGACAGTGCGCTGCAGTCTGCCTTATCAACACAACAACAAATCACTATCAGTCTCGTCTCGCAGCCTGTGTTCGTTCAAAAACCTCTCGGCTCTCGGTCCGTAGAGTCCGTATGGATTACTATTTACTAGTTATTATTAAAGTTACCAATCGGAAGTTATTCGTCCGGTTATTTATTAATTATTAACAGTGGATCTCGTGTGTACGAAAATCAATGAGTAACTACACTCGAGGGAATGAATGATAACTGTATGATACATGCAATACTATAATTCGGGGTTGGCGCCCGACGTTCCGAATACTTGGAATTCGCTCATCAATATGTACCGATGATATAGACTGCTAGGTAAGTGTACATAAAAATCGAAGCGTCTGGTCTGCACAAGTTTTCATTGTTCCTTGACAATTTTACAGAATTTTTACAGAATGATGCATTCATCATGTGGCCACTTTGGTCTCATACAGGATCGCTGTGGTGCCATATCATCGGCCAAAAGTACCGTAGACGCTGTACCAGTATTCACCAAAAAGACACCAAGTACTCGAAAACCAAATATTCCAGACGACGAAGCAAAAAACTTCGATATCGTCAGAGCTACTCAGCACGGACTGTTGAACCGGTGTAAAGAAATAATTGAAAGTGGTTATGATATAAACAAACCAGATCCTCAAAATATTTATCTCCTACATTGGGCCGCAATTAACAATAAAATTGATTTAATTAAATACTACATTTCAAAAGGCGCAGCTGTAGACCCTGTCGGAGGTGATCTACGTGCAACTCCATTACACTGGGCGACTAGGCAAGGCCATTTATCCGTAGTAGTATTATTGATGAGCAAAGGAGCAGACCCGTGTTTTTATGACGTTGAAGGACGCGCTTGTTTGCATATTGCTGCAAACTTAGGTTTTACAGCAATTGTAGCTTATTTGATTGCTAAAGGTGTAGATGTCAATTTGCGAGATAAAAATGGAATGACTGCTCTCATGTGGAGTTCGTATAAGACATTAGGACTTGATCCAACTAAACTTTTAATAACCCTTGGTGCGTCTATGTCCATACAAGATGATGTGCATAGGAATACTCCACTTCATTGGGCTCTGATTAGTCGGAATCCAACAGCCATCAGTATTCTAGTCATGAGAGGATCACCATTGACAATTAGAAATTCAATAGGATGTACAGCTTTAAATTTAATTCACGAGTCAAGATCAGAGGTGTGGATAGGAATGAATACACTTAAAACTGTGGATGATAAAATGAAACCAAAGAATATTTTATTATTAAAATTAAATGAACAAACTATATCTACTATAATCGTTTCTGTAGCATTTTATGTGGTTGGATTTGTATTGGACTCTCACATGATATATGTAGCTAAATTATGTTGTTTGATTATTGGCTATCTCATTATGTATAAGCTAAACCGTACATATGCATCAGTATCTGAAACACTGCCTGTGTCTGTTTATCTTGCAACAAAATTTTGGATGTCCGTCACTTGGATATTTTGGATATTACCCATCATAAGTTTCTGGTGTTCAGTTGGTTTTTTTATTACTACGTCATTGTTATGGTACAACTTTATGTACAGTTGGAATGGCAATCCAGGATATGTGCCAAATACTAAAAATGATCAATATAATGCTATCATTGAACTGGCTGAAAGCTCTGGATTTAGTCCGGATGTGTTTTGTAGTACATGTTTGATTAAAAAGCCAATCAGATCAAAACATTGTAGTATTTGTAATAGGTAAGAATAGTAAATTAATTATTGTATGAACAGATTGTTTATATTTATTGTGTTTATGTTTACAGATGTATAGCAAAGTTTGATCATCATTGTCCTTGGGTGAACAATTGCATTGGTATTTCAAATCATCGTCACTTTATTGGATACCTTATGTCACTACTTGTAGCTTGCGGTTTTGTTATTTTTGGAAGCATAAAATATCTAAATATGGCAAATCACTTTAATGAGCAAACTTTTCATTATAATATATTTTATGTAATTTGGGAAGTTCTCATATTAGATTCTTGGGTCAGTTGGATTATGATCAATGCTATTTTACATTCAATTTGGGTGTCAATGCTGTTAGGATGTCAGACTTACCAAATTGTCTGGCTCGGTATGACTACTAATGAACGTATTAATGCTGCACGTTACGAGCACTTTATTCCACATGGAAAGGGATATAAGAGCCCTTACAATCGTGGTAAATGTCAAAACCTGTTGGATTTCATCCAGTGCCATTGTCTTAGTTCCAGATTTTTAAATGAGAAAGTATGGTTCAATTATTGTGAATTTGATGTTTTTACTGAGATGGAATTGAATTTTTCTGCTGTAAAACCTGATTTGGAATATGTTTAAATATTTTGATTATATTTTCAATTAGCAATAAATTGCAAACTACTAATTATTAATAATAATGTTAACATGAAATAATAATTCAATATTATTAAATTTTTATTATATGTTTATTTTTTTTTTCTATGTGATTTGGCTTAATTCCAATAATTATTGTACTGTATAATATGTTAAATTTTGTAAAATTCATAGTATTTTAAACCCGATTATGTACGAGAACTGATTAAATTAAAAAAAATAACACTTAGCTTATTTTTTAATTCACTAATTATTAAATAATAAAAATTTATTGATTATTTATTGATTTAATGTTTTGAAATTGTATCTGCGATCAATGAAAAAGTTTATTTCTGTAGAAAATAATTTTGTATTTGTATGTTTGTGTGAGAATTTGTTTATATGTGGTTAGCTGCTAACATATGAATCAATAATTGTATATTTGCATTATCCTAATGTATAAGGTATAACTGTATAAATATAAATTATAAAATTTCAGTTTAAGCCAAAATTCATAAGTACCTAATGACTTGGGTCTGTAAATTTGTATAATTGATAAATTGCATTAGACTCTGAGCGGAGCGATGAATGTATTGGTTTTATAATGAAACTTAATACTAGGGTCCTAATATATTATTAATATAGCAGTTGAATAATGTTAAAAAAACATAGACCAATGTTTTTTTACAAATTTAAAGTTCGAATTTTGACAAAATTTGTCAAATTTAAGATTTTAAAATAATTGTATAGTTAAAAAGGTGCTTGTGCCAAGTGGGTCACTATAATGGAAGGTATTAAATTTGAATTCAATGATATAATATCATTGTATAAGAAAAAAGATTCTGATCGGAGACGGTAGTCAGTCTAGGTAAAGGTAAGACATATTATATACTTATATATGGTACTTATTAAAAAAAAATTAACCTATAATAAATTACGAATTAATCATATCACAATATCCATTATGTACTTATAACGCTTTATACATCAACAATAAACCCTGATACTATCATAGATAGTGTACTTAAGAAGTTTCAAGTACACACGAATAATATTATACAATCACAACAAAATAACTAAAATAGTTACCTATTCTAGGTATTTTTTATGTAATTTCATCCAAATTTGAACTTAAAATGACTTTAAAAAAAAAACGTGCCTATGTATTTTTAATATTTTCCCTTTCCAATTGAACAGATACTGAAGTTGAAAATCGAAGCATTATTTCGACTACTTATAGTGTACACAGACACAAATAAAATAAAAAAACACACATCATTGTAAAATCAATACATTCATCGTTCCACTCAAAATCTAAAATTTATAAAATTTTCAACTTTTATAGCTAAGGATTGAAATCTTAAAACAAGGTTGCACGTAAATAGGTTATATTATATAAATTACTTTATTTACAATAATATCATCAAATATACAAAATAATATCATAGGCTGACTGACTGACCGTCTTCGCTCACAATCGTTTTTCGTATACTAATATACAATAAAAAATATATAATTACCTATATCATTGAATTCAAATTTAACACCATCCATTACAGTGAACCACTACTGTACAGCAGAGCAAAACCCACTGCCTACCTTTATTTTTTAAAATTGGTTAGTAAAATTAATAATTATTGGTTAGAGCCTAGAGGTAAACTACAAATTTGAATCACATATTAACGCGTCTAAAAATAAAATGTTATTTTGCATATTTTTTCGTAAAGTCAAATACCATTTTACTGCTTGATTAAGAATATATTTTATAGATTCTCAGTGCCCAGTGGAATGATTTTATTTCAAAAACAAATAACTAGAGAATTTAATTTTTCAGCTATAGGTATTTATATTAGAATTTCAAGTTTTGTTATAATTTTCAAAATGTTTGACTTTCTTCCTCGTAAGTTTTTTTTATAGAAATATAGAAATGATAAAAGTATAAAACAACATACTAGGTATTTAGGTATACCTTATGGGCTCGGAATGGGACAAGTGGGCGCCGCCAACTAGGCACGGCCAACTCGGCGCAGCTAACTGAGTGTTGGACAAGTAGGCGCGAGTTAAGGTGGACGCCAGGACAGCTGGGCGCTAAACAGCTAATTATTTAACTCTAAACGATTAGGTGCTACCTATTTTACATTTTTTTTTTGTTTTAATATTTATCTTTTTACCAAACCAAACTGTATAAAATTACCTACCATACCTATAGACTCTAGAGCAGTGTTCTTTAAACATTAGGTTTGTACCTAATTATAGTATAATGTATACAAAAAGTTATTTTGTCATTATTAATATCCTAGTTAGTTTAGGAATCTGGAAAGGGTTTCAAACTCATTGAGGACAAATCCAAAACTACACAAATAGTACCTACCTAGTTGGTAGTAAGGCAGGCCGTTAGTTCCTAGGTATAGGCCATAGGGTATACTTGTTAATTACAGGTAGGTATATAGGTATGTTTATGAAGTGAAGAATAAAAGTATGACAAATTCTCTAGTTTAACCGGAAATTATATAATCAAATTTAACTGTTGATATGTGAATGCATAATATTATGCAATATCTATCGGAAGATAGTTGGTCAGACGGATCAATATTAAACTGAAGCCGAACCGTGGTAATCGCAATTAGCAGCCGGCCTGATCGAACTGAATACGCGTTACTTTTTACTATGGATTGAGTTAGATTTACTTTCTTTTTTCCAGTAATAATATATAAGTATCTACATAATCACAAAATATTTAATACTATATATTTTACTTATAGTCTAATATAGTAATATCCATAATACAATATGTAAATATGTAATAGCCAATAGGTTTAAAGCCTATTAATATACCCAAGGCATTAATATTTAATACCTTTATGTGGTTATGTCGGTTATGATAATATGTCCTTATGATCTATAAAGTATGACTTAATTAATAATTATTTATAATGGAAGTTAAAACGAGTAACGACTTATTATAGGTAAGCATAAAGTAGCTGGTGCTACTTCATATTAAAGGTAAGCTGCAGGTATTAGTCATTTTGGGGAGATTAAATCTGATTTGTCAAAATGTATGAATAAAGAAATATAAATTCATAAACTGTTTAAATACTAAATTATTTTCTAGTTTACTGTATAAGTAGGTATGTAGTATGTACCACAATATTAAACTATTTTCACTTTTGTTTACCAGTTTAGATGATATCGTGATTTAACGCGTTTTTATAATAAATTAAAATCAATGGCTTTTGGCATGTATTTATTGAATATTTGAGTTTGAGTTTTATAGAAAATTGATTTCTTATATACTAGATTGTACAGGAATAAAATACATTATTAAAAATAAATTTATATTATCTAAAACAACTGCGCCAGTAATAGTGTGAGTAGGTTTTAATTTTTAATAAGGAATTTTAAGTAAATGCAGGTACCTACCTACTGTTATATTTATTAAAGATATTTCCTAATACGCATAAATTATTAATTACAACTGAAATGTATGATATATGAGCAATTGACTTCGATATAAACCGTGTTTTTAATTTTAAATATTATTAATTATTATGAATTTTAGTATTCTTAGGTCAATGGCCTATAAATTATAAATAAATTCAATTTTAGTCAAATTCAAAAGCGTGTTGGCGTGTCTTTATATTTGATGTCTTTACACAATATCTAACATTCAAAATACAATTCTTAGTAAAGCTCATAGTCTAAAAATAAGAAACCACTGTAACCATTTTTATTCTTTAGAATTTACGTTAGGTAGGTATTGGTATTCTAAACTTATTCCTCGAGGACTTCGTCTTGGGTTACAAAACAATTATAAAAATATGTAAGTATAACTTATGCATATTATAATATAATATTTATCTAGCCGGAGCGTAGGTATATACTTTAGCAATACATGATTGACACGTGATTGACATATGCCACTGGGCACTGACACTGTCATGAAGGAGGTAGGTACTCAGTAACCCTTTGTTAAATTATTATAACTGTTGGGAACTCCTTTAAATATTTATACAAAATTATATTTAATGAGTGAAAATAAACGATTTTAATTATACAATATAATATATTATGTATAGGTAAGTACCTACATGCAACATGTTACTTTATAAGAAACATGTAGCCATGTAGGTAGGTATAATAAATAATAATGAAAAATAAGTTTGTATACAAAGTTTGTAGTTTGATTTAGTATTTTTAATTATTTAAACTTTGGAGGGTATTAATATTATAAAAAGTCCATTTATTTATAAGTCATTAATTATTATGTATTTAAAGGACAGCAGCTAACAAGTAACAAGAAATACATTTTTGTTGTGTAAAGACGAGTGTATTTATAGTTTTTAATTTAATTATAGTAGGTATTCTCTACTTATTCCATTTGAAAAATGTGTCAAAGCAAAATAGAAATAAGTGAAACACTTTTCTTCTAAATTAGATAGGTACCTATAGTGTAATCATTTTCACAACTACCCGCCTATTGGAATATTTGATTTGTGAAGAAAGCACGTTTAGAACAGTTGGAAAAAATCGTATTGAAAAAAATGCAATCTGTTTGGAATAATTATTTATAATTTATACCTACAGGAAAAACGTAATTTTCATAATTTTTTGTATTAATTGTAAATTGTAATATTTAATTATTCGTTTATTTCTTTTTTTAATTAGGTCATTATTTTTATCAAATAGTCATGTGCTATTATACTGAATAGTTTAAGAAGTGCAGTAAAACAAAATCAGCAAATAATTCCGTTCAAATTAATATAAAAAACCGGCCAAGTGCGAGTCGGATTCTCGCACGAAGCGTTCCGTACCATCCTCAGCTATAAACATATTGGCAACACTAGGTACTTATAGTTTATATTCTAGGATTTTTAGTATTTGTTGTTATAGAGGCAACAGAAATACATAATCTGTGAACATTTTAACTTTCTAACTTTCATGGTTCATGAGATACAGCCTGGTGACAGACGGACGGACGGACAGCGGAGCTTTAGTAATAGGGTCCC